TGTTTCACTGTAGACATCGTCTGATGCCAATTTGGTAGACATCGCATATCTCAATTAAAATTTTAAACTATCATTTTACCAGCCCTAGTATATGTTTGAACTTAGCAACACGGTAACATAAAACTATTAGAATCCACTGTGAGTGTTGAGTCTTATGCACTGACCATCAGAGGGAAGATCCCTATGTAGTCAATGCAGCACTCCAGGGTTCAGACCAGAGCCAATGAGTCACATCCTGAAGAGCAACCCTGACAAAAACATGACACAGCTAAAAACTGATGCGGTGTACCTTCTTCCAGTTTTTTCTTGAGCTCTTCAATTTCCTTCTGAAACTGATAAAAACTGATGCGGTGTACCTTCTTCCAGTTTTTTCTTGAGCTCTTCAATTTCCTTCTGAAACTGACGCAGCAGTGCATCCTTGGGGTCCTCATTAATCCTGGCCTTATTCTTGATGTTTTTGGCACGGTTGGCATAACGGAGAGTACTGATGGTTTCATCGTAGTTGTAATCTGCTGGGCCGATGTTTGCACACTGCAAAAATAAGAGAGAGATAAAACAGAATCCTACTGTGTGCACTGTGTGTCTGACTGATTTCTGCTGAATTTTAATAAAAACAAGTGGAAAAAATAGTTTTACTAGCAATTTAATCAACAATTGGGATACTATATAAACCAAGTCTTGTACGAGTTTACACACTGACTATCGTACCATCATGGTTTTGGAGTTTCCTCCTAGAGAGTCCTGTAAGAGTCGGGTGAGTTTTGAGTTCCTATAGGGCACGTGGGTGCTTTTTCCATCCACGAGTGCAGAGATAACATTTCCCAAGGTGGACAGAGACAGGTTGATTTTTGTAGCCTCTTTAAGACGTTGACCTGTGGCTCCCGTTTTTCCCTGTCTTTCAGAGCCCTGAGCAACAAAACATCCCCGTCAGTAATGGAAAGAAAACCAAGACGATGTCCACATGATGTGGGCAGCTTACCGCAAGATCCACCAAGTGAAGCTTTCCCATGCGCACATGTTGATGTCCATCTACACCTTTCTCACTGCACTCGATAGTTATGGTGAAGATAGCATGAGAACGAGAGCTGTGCTCGTTCATATTAGTCGCACCCACAGAACCTGGGCAAAGACAAATAAACACAAGCACAAATGCTGGCTATCTTTAGAGCTTCCTCTCTAGAGAGCACCAAACCCACTGCTTAAGTAATATTCTTGCTCTGATCAACACATTTTCTATATTGATATTAGAATTATTCATTAAAATATTAGATTAGAAATAAAGCAGTCATCCATGTCCATGACAAAACAAGATGCATTTTAAAGACTTTACTGCATGCCCTAATAGATTTCAATTAATAAAATAATTCAAATAGACTCACGGTTTTTGTGTCCAAGGGTCATAATCCGGTCCATATCGTCAGCATTGTTTACCACGTATCCAGAAAGATCCTTGATGTAAACTCCTACGTCAGGTCTCTCCTTGACCTGTATTTTGAGTTTAGTATTCATCATTTGCAGAAATTCATTAAGTTGCACAACAAAAGGCATTGCCTTATTTCAAATATTCAAGCTCTAGCTAAGTCAGACTTCCTCAATAACAATGAAACTAAAATGTGACCCTGGAGCTCAAAACCAGTCTTAAGTCGCTGGGGTATATTTGTAGCAATAGCCAAAAAAAATTGTGTGGGTCAAAATTATTGATTTTTCTTTTATGCCAAAAATCATTAGGATATTAAGTAAAGATCATGTTCCATGAAGATATTTTGTAAATTTCCTACCGTAAATATATCAAAACTTAATTTTTGATTAGTAATATGCATGGCTAAGGACTTCATTTGGACAACTTTAAAGATGATTTTCTCAATATTTAGATTTTTTTGCACCCTCAGATTCCAGATTTTCAAATAGTTGGAAATGGAAAATGGAAAGCGTATTTATTCAGCTTTCAGATGATGTATAAATCTCAATTTCAAAAAATTATTGACCTTTATGACTGGTTTTGTGGCCAGGGTATAGTATAGTATAATATAATATAATATTATATTATATTATGGAATTTTAAATGATCAAAATTTTAAATATAAAAGAAGTGTTATATTATTTTACATGGTTCTCTGAAATACTTATGACTGGTCAATTGTG